AATTCTTTTTTGCTGAATATAAGCTACATTTAATCTCATCTAAAACTGTTATCTATCAAATACTTAGTTTAGTAATTCCATTTTTAAGTTCTAGATTTCCGTTTAATTATTTAATTGCTCTGTAAATTTTTCTTCTTGCCTTCTCTTTTTTGGAGCATAATAACACATGTGCTTCTAATAATATCTTGAAGTCTGTTTTTATTGTCTATTTTCTCTTCTTTTATAGACACTTGGCTTTTGTCTCCAGGAATGCCTAGTAACCTATGTGCTTGCAGAAAATATTTAATATTTTTTCATTGAAAGCAGGGACCACACATCTTGGTCAATCAGAGATTAAGATGATTCAAGCCTTTTTTTCAGGATTTAGTCTATCTCTCGTATTTGTTGTTCTTGTTAAGTGGTATAGAGTCAATTCCTACTCATAGTGACCCTGAATAGTTTCCAAGGAGCAGATGGTAGGTTTGAACTGCCAACTTTGCAGTCCAGTGCTTATTGTATAGTTCCACACCAGGACTCCCATTTACTTCATGTTTCTCAGTTCAAAGGCTGGTGGTATTTACCTGAGCCATTGTTTTTTGGAGAAGATGGAATGTCAGTTTTTTTCTCCTCAGGTTTATGAAAATACTGAAAGCTCTTGATAGTATTCTAGCTTCTTAGCAGCTGGCTTCTGCATATTTGGTAGTACTTGATCCCTCACTCCATCTAGTTTCTGACTCATAGCGACCTTGTGTAGAGTTTCCAAGAAGTGGCTGGTGAACTTGCATTGCCAACCTTGCAGTTCAGATCGGCCCTAGAGTCCAGGGCATTAGCTTGCAGCACCACCCCAGGACTCCCAATTATGTAATAGACTGTATGTACCATTTAAGAATTTATAAATGCTTCGAAGACAAAAATTCAGCAAATGCGTATTTTTTCTCTAGGATCTTGACTTCACACATATGGCTACCTTGTTTTTGTACAATGCTTTCAAAATATTTTCTGTATTTTATTACATTTGCATTTATTCTAGTGAGAAAGCTGGTCTACTCTGAGGAAAATACAAATCTGTAGAATTTTAACATTGTCAGATTCTTCTTGATCATAGTTTCATTAGTCCCCCAACTAAAAGTGAATTATTCTAATTCAGAAAGTTACTTACTTGTGTTTTATTGCGTATGCAAAGGCATTCAGCTTTGTGGAAATCCAGAATACTTCATTGTGCTTTTGTGGAACCTGAATGTGGGCCATGAGGCAGTTACTTGAATAGCACAAGGGGTGTTTTGTCATTTAAAATAAGAAATAATGTATGTCATCATTGTAGCCTTGCACCATACTATTCAGTCTATATGCTGAGTAGATAATTCAAGAAGTTAGACTATCTGAAGAAGAATGTGGCATCAGAATTAAAGAAGGCTGATTAGCAACCTACGATACGCAGATGACATAACATTGTTTGTTGAAAGTGAGTAGGACTTGAAACACTTGCTGAAGAAGATCAAAGAATACAACCTCAGTATAATTACAACTTAGTATAAAGAAAAGCATCACTTGTCTGTCAGTTTGTCATAATGTGGTGGCTTGTGTGTGCTGTGATTCTGGAAGCTATGCCACAGGTATTCTAAATACCATGAGGGTCACCCACAGTAGACAGATTTCAGCTGAGTTTCCAGATGAAGACAGACTAGAAAGAAGGAAGAGGGACTACTTTCAAATATTCGGTCACTGCAAACTTATGAATAGCACTGGAACACTGTCAGCAGCAGATTATTGAATATTGAAGCATGATAAAGAGCATCAGGATATTGTCATAATGTAGTACCGGAACTTGAGCCTCTCAGGTTGGAAGGTATTCAGAATACGATTGGGGAAGAACTGTCTCCTCAAAGTAGAGTTGACCATGATGATGCAAATGGAGTAAAGCCTTTGGGACCTTCATTTGCTGATGCACAACTCAAAATGAAGAGAATGAGCTGTAAACATGCATTACTAATTGGAATGTACGAAGTATGGATCTAGGCAAATTGGAAACTGTCAGGAATGAATTGGAAAGCATAAACCTGGATATCTAGGTATTAATGAGCTGAAATTGACTGGTATTGGCCATTTTGAATCTGACAGCAATGTGGTTTTCTCTGTCAGAAATAGCTAATTGACTAGGAATGGCATCATCTTCTACAAGAATATATCAAGATCCGTCGTTAAGTAGAAACCTGTCTGTGATAGGATAATATCAGTATGTGTACAAGGAAGACCAGTTAATGCCATTATTAATTCAAATTTGTGCATCAACCAGTAAATTGAAATATTCTACCGACTTCTTCCATCTAAAATTAATCTAACATGCAATCAAGATGTATTGGTAATTACTGGTGATGGGAATGCAAAGGTTGGAAACGAGGAAGGATCAGTAGTTGAAATATATGCCCTTGATGATAGAAACATGGTAGAATTTTGCAAGCCTCCAATGTTTTGTTCACTGCAAATACCTTTTTAAAACAACATAAAAGATGACGGTACACCTGAACCTCCTCAGGTGTAATACACAAATTAAATTTACTACATCTGTGGAAAGAGACAGTAGGAAAGCTCTTCCATATCAGCCAAAACAAGGCCAGGCAGACT